AATTATTTATTTCTCTTTCATTTTTCTTTCTCTTTTCATAACCTAAATATTTCTAATATGTAGATGTATGGGTGGTTTAACTCTTACACTGGTCAAGATATTTGGGCAAATATTTCCCAGCTATCATTTTATAACATCGAGACTGGACAGTTTACTGTGTTAGATGTGTAGAAAAGAGAAAAGTACCCAAAAGGGAGTGCCCAAATTCAATAAAGGGTCTGCAGTTAATTCATAAATACTTCAGTATAGAGTTGAACTTTAGTAAATGTTTATAATGCAAGAAAAATTATGTATTATTTAAAAAATGTCTATGTATTCTGCAATCAAAAATTTTCGTTTAAAAACCTATAGATTTAGTTTTATTAAGTAATAATTAAGTAAGCATGTTACTTGATTATGGTGCAATCTATTAATATGTTATTACAAAATGTAGGACAAAATACGAAAATTTTGCTGCTATTGTAGTATTTTTAATTGTAGCCAATTTTTAAAATGTAGAAAATTTTAAACAATTAAAAAAAAATTTGAGATTAATAATATAAGGTATTTTTTCAAAAACATTTTGAAAAATGCTAATCATTACAGGAGTAATTTCATAAGTAAAGTGTGAAATAAAATAATTTTCAGAATCGCACATTTATTTAAAAAAAAAATAGTAAAAATGTTCATGGAGTGCATTTTTAGCAACAAAAAAAAGTAGTAATCAGGTGGTGATTGACAGTCAACTTTAATGGCTATTTGTTGTATTTAGTTACCCTGTGGCCAGTAGTATAATCTTATAATAGCAGACATATAAGTTCCTTCTAAATGCCTATTTTGTTTTATACATTTTTTACTTTATTCATATTAGCACCACTAAACTCATCTGAAAAAAGGTATAGTTTTTATACTTGCTAATTAGTAAGATTTACAGCTCCTCATAATTCCTTGTGAGTTCTTATAGTGGTCTGCAGAAAAGTCCTATTAGTCATTAAATTTAATTTTATGTTATGTTAAGATAAGTAAGTAGGTTTATAAAAAACTCAAGTTAAATTAATTGAAGACTAATTTAATTGTTAAAAAATGGTGCATTTAATGCCTATGAAGGCATGTTCATACTAATGTTATATCAGCTGTATCTCTATAATTTATATAAATCTCATTTAATAGTTTTTAGGATAATGGAAAGGTACATATTGTGTAATTATGTAAAATTATTATTATTTTTTTTTTTAAAAAAAAAGCTTATTCTAGCATTCTCTTTAATGTATACGTTTTTTCTTTTTCCCAGAAACAAGCCAAGAAAAATGGTTCTGATAATAGTGCCAGTAGTAGTAGAGCTAATACTCCTACAAGATTAAATGCTGAAGGTAAGAAATGTTGAATAATTCATACTAAAATTAATGTTTTTAAAGCATTTAGATCCGCAAGCCCTATTTTATTTTTTTAGAATCATTTTACTGATTTCCAGATTTCTTATTAAAATAACTCCCAAAGTTTTCCCATCTGTTTTACTAAATACTTTATTTAAATTTTTTAACTCTCATGAAATGAATGTTTTCTTTTTACAAACGGAAAAAATGGTTGTTCCAGTAATACCTCAATTGTTTTTACCTTTGAAAATTGAGTTTTGTGATGAATTTTGAGGAGAAAAGAATTGTAAAATTGAAATCATGGGAAGTTTAGGACATTTATAATTTTGTAAACTTAATTATAACCATACTAAAACATTAAAAATGTATTTTGTATTTAAATAAATATATATATGTAACATAAAAAGCTTCAACTAAACTTTTTATGTTATTCCTTTTCTGTAAATCCTTTTTTTAATTTATCATTCAAAACTAAATGCTCTTTCTCACACTTTAATATCCACATCCTGTCTTTTAATCTATTTTTAGCTCAAGTATACATTAATTAACCTTTTAACAATTATTCCTGTAACTAACTCGAGGGAAAGACTTTTTCCCTGGACCTATTTATAGACCAATTACAATTACTAAGATTTCCCTAAAACGAAGCATTTTACGGATTTACTTTGCAAGATTTTACGTAACTTTTATTGAGGAGCACAATGATTTTGTGTCACTTTGATAACTATTCTCTGTAGAATACTTAATAAATAAATATTGTGGCCTCTTTCCCTGCTTAAGACCTGTTTTTATCCTTTCACTCCTAAACTATGTTATATATATATATATATACAGTACAGAACCCGTTATCCGGAAATCAGAAAACCGGAAAACCAAAAAACCGGAACGAAATTCGATAAATTTTCCCGCAATTTTTTAAAAAAAATTTTTTTTTTCCTCATAAGATTTTAGGATTTTTCTTTCTTTTTTGAAAGATGTTTACCTTAAAATCATTTTGGAAATAATCATTAGTGTATTACTTCATCGTTTTTTCTTCTTTTTAAGATTATTCCAAAAAAAAAATTTTCTTAGTTGGGTTTAACAATAAAAAAACGGCTTTTTGTAGCGATTCAGAAAACCGGAAAAATCAGTTATCCAGAATAGTGATGGTCCCGATCGTTCCGGATAATCGGTTCCCTACTGTATATACATATATAATAACTGTAAAACTTTCTTTTAGGTAAAGGAACTAAGCGAAAATTGAATGAATCTTTGGTGTCAAATAAGAAACCCAAATCAGACAATCAGTCTGGATCCAGCAGTGTGAAGTAAGCATTGGCTTTTTATTCTCTAATATTTCGTTTAGAAAATTTAAACTTTATTATTTTAGAATTTAAAAAATGAATAATATCAATAAAAAGATGTTTAAAATTATTATGTATAATTAGATGCTCTTAGATAAACAGAATAAAATTTGCAGGGCACATATGCCGTTTAAATACAACTAGTCCAACACATAAAATATTCAAACACAAACCAATTTGCAGCAAAGCTGGAGGACTTCCAAAACTTTGAAGACTGGACTTCATTTCTGCGGATTTTAAATTAATCAGGGTATTGAACTAAGAAGACGTGGCAACAAGGAGAATGACATAGAGAAATTTTCTAGAGAAAGCCAAGGCTCACACAAGGCTGTCTTGCCAATGATGATGATGAATTTGTTTTATTTCTCACATCAGAAGCTTACTTTTCATAATGTTGTTGTTACATATGGCTTTATTGGAAATATTAATCCATATGCAATGTTCAGCTTTAAGTGGACATAAACAAGGAGTAAAAAAGAACAAAATTACATTAACAAACAAAGAAAACATATGACAAACGCATATTAACACAAAAAGAACTCAAAGATAGAATCAAAGTTAAAAAAATATATATATACAGTGAAGAATGAGGAGTAGTCTTTACTGTAGTTCATGGATCTCTGGCATCCCAGTAAAGTTTACAGAGATCACCCCGCTCTTGAGATTGTTTGTCCAGTAAAAGGCATACAAGAAAGTGGTCTGAGTTCATGGTTCCCGAATTGCAGATTTGGAACTCACTACATGGAAGGATACCTATTATGTTGATGTGCTCTGCCAAGCAGTCATGGCCTGTTGAGAGTCTGAAGTTTGCCACAGCCTCCTTCCGAGGACTGTGACAAAATTTCTTCCAACTGTTTTGGATGTTAGCCCAGGGTTTTCCGATGGACTTTACTGCTTGGCTGCACTTTAGGTCGGTCATAAGTTTCTCGGTAAATTGTTTTTTATGGGAGTCTGGTGGAATCAGTTTATTACATTGTGGTTCGAGTGTCCCTTTCTTGGCTAGTTTGTCTGCCTTTTCATAGCCATTGATTCCCACATGCGAAGGGATCCACTGGAACATAATAATTTTGTTGGCATTTTCGAGAAAAATCAAATTATCTCTAATTTCTGAAACAGTATGAGTTTCTGAATCATGGTTTATGGCAACTGCCTTGATAGCTGCCTTAGAGTCGACAAGAATTACTGCTTTAGTGAAGTAATTGATCTTATTCTTAAGGTTTTCTAAGGCTAGCGATATAGCAAAGATCTCTGCATCAAAATTTGATATATAGTATCCCACAGGGGCGCTGTGTGAAAAGAGCTTACACTTTTCATAATGTAAAGAATGAAGATTGACTGAATATAATTTTGAAAAAAATTGTTCAGTGTAAAAATATATATTTCTTATTAAAAGAAAGTTTTATAGTTAAGATTTGGGGAATTTTTAGAATAGGAAGACAAGAGAAAGAGTTTTAAAAAAGCTTTTATATAAAGTTTTTAAAAAAATGCTACATCAGGGGCTCAGTCTGTTTTGTAACAGTAGATTAATTTATTACCCATTGGCAAAATGGGTGTTTTGAGTTTGATGGCTTGCACACCTTATTTGGACATCATCACACTTTTTAAATGTGTTCAACTGTAAGAGTAAACAGTGTGCCTGAGTCGTCATTGCAATGTGTTGCTATGCTCGTATTGATCACAGTGCTGACGTAAAAAATATCGTTAGTGCTGTTTGGATCATAGATTGAAATCCCTTTGCAGTCGGGTTAACAGTGGAATGTTTTCCTCCCTATGAAACGCATGTGTAGATTAGTTCCATCAAAAAGTTCTTTAAGAAGGCTTGTGTCTCCCAATGCTTTACCCAGAAGTTCCCTTGTATTCTGGGTTAGGTTCAAAATTACATGGATATGGAGTTGAACAACTCAGAATTGGGTTGCATGTTTAATGCTATTTAGAATGAGAAAATAGGAAAAAAATAAAGCATTCTCTTGATGTTCCACTTTTTTGATTATCATTTATAATTTATTCTGAAACCAAGAAAATATTTTTTATTTAAAAACGAATTCTAAATTTGTCTAGAAATTTTTTTTGTACTATTATGATACCAAAATTGATAATTTCATACTTTGCAGCTCTCTGGATGGTATTACTGAAGAAGCTATCCGTCGGTATTTGTCTCGCAAACCTATGACTGCCACTGAATTGTTACAGAAATTTAAGAAAACTAAAGTTAACTCTCAACAACTTGTCACTAAAATTGCCGATGTGTTGAAAAAAATGGACTTAGTGAAACGAAAGATCAAAGACAAGATGTATCTGTCTCTTAAATTTTAACTTATCTTGTAAATACAAGTTTTGTTATTTATGTTGTATGATGTTTTATTGTCTATAATAAAATAGCTGTTATTTTCAGTATTTTTTTCTAATTATATTTATAAGAGTTAAGAATTAGTTGTAGTGATCCCTCATTATTATGCAAATAATTTTATTAAGCCTAAAACATATACAGGACGTGTGGCATTTTTAAAAAGTGCTTATCTTTGTTTAACGTTTTTTAAAATGCTTAAAGGTGCTCTTTTTTTATTCGGGATTTGTAAAAAGTGCTTAATTTTCTATCTTTTAAAAAGAGATTTTTTCTTTACCACATTGATTGTCATTCTAAATTACAATAAAAATGCACGGTTTTCACAATTTTGTCTGCAATATTTATCAGAAACTAATTATCAATCATGATTATGTAAAGTTTTTGAAAATGTTTTTGAATTTTATTGATTTTCTGATTATAAATTAAGAACTTTAAATGATAGAATTTTTATTTTATTTTATTACTTCACAGATCCTATTGATTTTTTTTAGAAAGTGATTAAAAATTTTTTTTGAGTGCTCAAGAAGTACTTAAAGGGTGCTTATTTTTTGTTGAAAACTCTGGCTATGCACCCTGATATAAGATGTTTGAAAGTTATTTATCTAATTAAAAATAAAGTATTTTTTCAAACACAAATGTCACTTTTTAATAAAATAACAATAATTCTAAAAAATCTGAAGTGGCTGATGAAAACTAATTTATAAAATGTTAAAATTATGTTTAAAAAATTTTTTAATCTGAAAAGTCTGATTTTATAATTTCAACTATCATTTGCAAAGGTTTGAGTTTCTCACACCTTTTTCCTTGACTGCAATATACAAAATTGTGAGAAAAAAAACATAAACTTTTTTCTTTGAAATAGTTCTTTTTACATGTAATTATCACATCTACATATGTCTCGAGAAAAGCCTGAAAAACTCAAAAGTATTTTAAAATTAGCTCAAACAACTAAACAAAATATGAAAATTAATGCTAAGAATCTGGAAAAATTTAAATCAGACCAGTTTTTACTTTTTTTTTTAACTTACTAAAAATCTTTTTTTTAAGATCGCTAATTTTTTTTTCTTTAATTGGTATAGTATCAATACCCTCTGATAAAAGTTAGAGACATTATTTTGCTTAAAGAAAAAAAAAATTATTTACTTAAATGTTTGAAGAAAAAAAAATTATGATGCAATATTACTTTCATGTTTATTTTTATTTCATTATTGAATTTATTGCGAGAGTTTTTAATGTTTGTAAGTGGGTAATGATTAACTTCCTTTTATTTGAAATTCTTTAAAATGTTGGGAATTATATAAATGAAGGTATATAGGATTATTTAAATCTGGGTATAACAAAATATTGATTTATCCACTCATCAAAATTTTGTATAACATTTCCCAGCAATATTATTTTTTTTTTAAGCTGATTTATTGCATTACAGTATTTATCATTTGTTAGAATTGTTGCCTCAGGGAATTTTTTCCTGACATTATGTATGAACTCTGTATAAAACAATAACTTTTATCTACAATATCAATATAACTTTCATTTTATCATTCTTTTAAGATTCAAGAGAAGAAAGTAAAAGTGAAAATCTCACTTTGTACTTTGATTTTCTCACGCGATTCTTAAAGGCTGGTGTTTCACATATTTTGAAGGCTGTCAAAATATGTATTGAATATCCAGATTTCATACCTGCCACCATTGGAGGAATAAAGTGATGGAGATTTTTACTAGCGAAATTTTTTGGCTACGAGTTAAGTTTTGATACATCATGCATAATCATGTAAGTCAAAAAGAGAAATTCAAATTTGGAAATAATATAAGAATATTTATAAAACCATTATTTACAATTACTTAAATTATTTTATAACCATTGTTAACAGCCAACCCAATTTTGGGTTAACTACTACCAATGTTAGACTCCTTGTAATTTTGAACCCAATCCAGATGACAAGGGAAATCCTGGATCAATCAAGTACTGGAGAAATTTCATTAAGTGAAACAGAGCCAGCGCAGGGAAGATCTGAGGCTGGTCAGATGCATATGCTGTTGGTAAAGAATAAAGAAATTGATTAGCTGATTTTTAAATATAACCGGAGGATTCAGTTGATAGATTTTTGATTCAGAACCTGAATTAAAGTACAAAATTGTATGTTAACTAAAATTTTTTAATGTAAGCCACAGAATTTATATATATATATATAAAAGAGTTAAATAAACCAATACCTGATTTATAAGATTTGAGGGGCCTTAGCCCCCTAAATGTTAAAAAAAAATTTTTTTGTGCTTTTCCTTAAAAATTGTCTTCTAAAAATATGAGTTGACAAAAATAAAAAAAATATGTAAGCTCAAATTTACTAATACATATATCATAATTTATTTGTGATGTTTTAAATTTAAAAGCATTATGTACCTAAACAACAAGTAAATTTGGTTTGGTTTAAAGTTACCACCAGTTAGACCTCACAGTTCTGTGCCTACAATTTTCAGATTTCTAAATAGTATACCTGAACTATAGTTCGTTCACCAGGAGTTGGCACTTGGCTCCGCCTCCATCACATGGTATCCGATGATACTATTTCACTATTTTTAGAAAGGTGTGAACAATCCTGAACAAGGTTGCTATTTGGTGATCGTATGACAAAAATATTTATTTCGCAATCTTTACTTGCATTTTTTTAACCTTAAATATTTCTCTCTTTTGAGACATTTTGCTGGGAAAACAGCAATTTTTAAATAAAAAATATATTTAATTAGCTAGAGTAACGAAAGGTATAATAGCATATGGTAAAGCAAAATAAGTGAGTGAAAAAAAAGTCACAGTTTGTGTTAAATGTGCATTAAGGGTTGTCTCAATTTCAAGCACAGAGATGTTTCTCCTTTCTCGAGCTGAAATGAACTAAGCGTCCGAGGAGGTGGAGCAAAGTTCCTACTGCTGGTGAACAAACTATTCTAAATAGTAAACTATTCAATTTTCATTCATTGGGTATCTTATAGTGAACATTTAAGGTTACACATAAGTAGAAAATTAAATAAGAAATGTTTGTTCTACATATCATGAAGGAATTAATACAATATTATTGGCCAGCCTTGGGATTAAAAAGAAAGTCAAGAATAAATTGATACCAAAGTTACTTTATTTACAATTACATATAAAATTGTTTAATGCAATTTTTGAAACATCTATAATAAATATTTTTATAACAATACATCTTGATCCAAATAAAATAGTTTTTTGAACTCCGATAACTAAAAAATTATTGATTCCAATTGTACTTATGATGATGAAAATGTGTGAAATTTCTGTGAACATATAAGTTAAATAATGAAAATTAATTTTTATTGAATTAGAGGAAAATTGTCTGTATTACGTTTATAATATTCAAAAATATTCTACACACAAATCTTTTTCATTCTTGTTTTGAATATAATTTTATTTTTAAATAATAATATAACTAAATGGTAAAGATATTCTCCAGTTTTTTTTTTTTAAATCTACATTTTATGTTAAGTTTAAAAATTTTACAACAACCTATAATAATTTTAGCAATAGTTTAATAATAATATTTTTTTTCTTAATTTGGCAACAGAGTGTCATTGTACTTATGAAGTAACAAAGACTCTTATTTTTGGATCAACCTGTGTACTTGCTGATTATCTTTAAAGAGAAAGTTTAAAAATTATACTCCTTAGTTCACTGAAATAGGAATTTTTATTTAATTCATAACATTAAGCACATTTTCACCGCTTCAGAAGATAAAATATATGCACGATTCAATAAATGTAAGCAAAACATTTCACTACGTCAGAAATAAAAATATTTCCATGATTCTGGAATGTATAAATCAACAAATAATGATTATTTTTTAATATGTAAAAAAATTTATGTTAAATATAAAAAAAAAAATGAACTAAGTGTGCATAAAAAAAGCTCAGTAAAATCATAGAATCTTCATATCTGCATTTTTAAAAAAAAAAAATATATATAAGTCTTAAGTATGTAGTCTTAAGACTTCAACCTCACAAACTATAGAATAAGAAGTACAATATACAATTAATAAAGAATATACAATTACACTAAAATTCTGTAATATTAAGAAAAGGAAAAAAGTAAACAAAATATTAAATTAAAATTTATTAATTTGAATCAAACTTGAAAAATAAACTATTTAAGTTTCTTTACTTC